TATCCCACCCATCCACATCCATGCACACCTAACAATGCCTCTCTCTCCCACCCATCCACATCCATGCACACCTAACCATGCCTCTCTCTTCCACCTATCCACATCCATGCACACCCATTTATGCCTCTCTCCCACCTATCCACATCCATGCACACCTAACTACGCCTCTCTCTCCCACCCATCCMCACTCATGCACACCCATGCACACCCAACTATGCCTCTATCCCACCCATCCACATCCATATACCTCTCTTCCATTCTACCACTCGTACAGAGAGCTAAACGAGAATGTTGCAAGTAAAAACGTTTAATAATTTTTGCGTTAGCTTACTACACAGTTCGTTTCACGTTAAAGATTAAAAATCAATAATAATCACTAATGATCGCTAAAAGAAAAGCTTTTTTATCGTTAACCTTAAAGGTGCATTGTTGCTTCTATTAATTTTCCTAGATATTTTTCTTTTTCGGTTCCTTAGTCTCGAAGTAAGAAATCAAGCTGCTTGATTCCTAACGTCTTCCGCCTGATGGCCAACTAAAACAAATGAATGAAAAACATTGTAAATGATGAAATCAATAATCAAACATGCTGTCTTTACGTTGTAGTTGCACTTCTAATTCTGATAAAGATGATGATGATGGTAGTGCTGGTGCCATTAGTAATGAAGTGATAATGATGATAATAATGATGATGAGATTGTGATGGTGAGTGATGTGCTAAGACATGTCCAAAGGCGCCATGCAGCTTGCAAGATGGGCCCGGTTGTACGAAGCCTGTATAGCGCTATCCGACGGATAAATCTTATCCAGTGGATAAGTCGATGCTGTTATCCAATATATTTATCCACTGGATAAGATTTATCCGTCGGATAGCGCTATCCACCCATCGTACAACCGGGCCCAGAGGTTGATCAGTAGATTCAACGTTTCCCCCCCAATTGCCAGGGCGAATTTAAATTAGCTATCATTATAAAAAAGAATTTATTAAATATTTACCAGCAACACTTGTTAGTAGACAAAGCACAATTATATTGATTGTGGCAAGGGAGCATTCCTGGTGAGCAAGGATCTTTGATGTAGACACAGTATCCATGTGGCCAATCACAATTTCCTATAATCGAAAGATAAAAAGAATATACATAAATAATATCCAATAATATCTATAGTATTGCTTTAATATTTTGTCTTTGATCATGAACTATGTTCCGTTTCCTAAGGTGCAAAACTTGATTGTACTGTAAGAACCGAAAGCACATCGTTAAGTTGTTCTATGACCTTCCTTGAGGATAATCGATCTAGTTCTTTCCGTGTTAACTAGGCTCATCATATCCACCATAACGTTTGACATTATAGTTAAGGTATATACTCAGTTACCCTGCACCTTCCATTGCCTACATGTTATTTGTCATTGAATAAGGTATAGACCCCCTGCATGCGACGTCAAAGCAGCACGAACGGGGTGAGGGGGATGAGACAAACAAAACGAAAGAATTCTAATCTCTAGAGAATTGGAACCTATTGCTTTGTCCCCCAGATTGAACTGCATTCCAAAGTGCTGCCTTATATGTTAACGAGTACCTACCATGCCCATGTGAATATCCATGACGTTTTTCCTCTCGTGGGAATTCAACGTCTTGTTCATCTAGTGGCATATCTTCCGCCATCTCTTCGGTCAAACTAGCACCTTGCACGTACATGACACCCAAAACCAACATCAACAAACACAACTGAAGCTTCATTGTTTTAAGTTTTTGGAGCTGAAAAAAAAAAAGGATAAATTCATGGTTTTGACTCAGGCAATAGCGAACAATCACCGTTGCAATCACCGTTACAGCAATGGAGTTTTTGAAACTTGTCCCACAAACATACATTCATATCACGTGGTATACAGCTATTTCAAAAAGGTTGAATACTGAATACTGCATACTGAATAGTGCATTCCAAGACCAAAAGGCATTGTGGGTCTCGTTAATTTAAAATAAAAAGTAAATATATAGCAATTAACTCTCTACATGTAGTTAGTATATTGTTTCAGATGGAATAAATAACTATTATTAATCCTACTTTAGACAATGCCACTATGACCCACGATGCACTTCGGTCTTAGAATGCACTATTCAGTATGCAGTATTCAACCTATTTTGAAATAGTTGTATATGAAGCATTTCCAAATTATTTAAATACAGTGATTTCAACCAACAGTTAGGCAAATACATAATATCAGTGCTCACACTGTACACTATAATTATTTTTTAGCAAAAACATTGCATTTAACCTTTAAAACGATTTTTGAGTTGAAAATTACCCATAATGCACCCGATATATCGATATATTGATATTCATTTTATTAGCAGAATTCATATATATGTGTGTGTGTGTGTGT